GGAGGGGGAGGGTAAGTTGCTTTCTCCCCGCCTCTCCCCACCCCTGCCTGCCTGGGGCCGGGGAGGGCCTTTGCGGGGCTTCCTTGCACTCCCACCGGCCTTGCAGGTCCACCGCCGGGCCCCTCATGGGGCTCAGCAGTGGAGCTGCAAGGCCGGCGGCGGCCGGGACTGTTGGGGGTGGGGTGTGTGGCCTTATGACACACTTCCGGTGATGTCAGGGGGTGTGGCATATGCTAATGAGTTCCCCTAGCTATTTTTCTACGAAACAACCCCTGCATATGGCGCATAAAACAGACAATTTAGTGTCCTTCTCCCCATTGAGGGAGAAGGAAAGGAAGGAGTCAGGCTAGATGGGAAAAAAAACATTGGCCATCCTCAACCACAGGCCTGGCAGAACATCTCTGTATTACAAGCCCTGCAGAACTGCATTAGGTCCCACAGGGCAGGGATGTGATTCGGCAGAGAGTTCCACCAGGCCAGGGCCACAGCTGGAAAAGCCCTGGCTCTGGTTGAGGACAGTCGGATGCTTTTTGGGCCAGGGATTACCAGTAAATTCTTCTCATCTGAGCGTAATGCTCTTTGGGGGATGTACCAGGAGAGGCGGTCCCAAAGATATGTTGGTCCCAGACCATTTAGGGTCTTAAAGGTTAGTACCACAACCTTGAATCTGATCCGGTATGCAAATCTGATCCAGAACCTTGAATCTCATCCGGTATGGGAAAACTGTGCACAGATGGTCATCTAACAAGCCAGTAGCAGTAGCTTTGCTGACCCTCTAAGTCCTCTGAGATTAAAAAAAGTAATGGTATCTACACTATTCTCCCATCTTATCTACAGTAGGATCCATCCCACCATTCTGGTCTTCTCTCGGGTAGAATATTATACAGAAAATCTTCTTGTTCTCCACACTTGGGAAGAGGCATGCATGCATTTCTAACTCTGTCAAAACTGCAGATAGGTTTCCCAGGACTGTTCATTATTGTACTGGGGGGGTTACTGTGCCCAAACCTGGAAGTGACCATAAAGATTTCTGGAAAGTTTATCTCTCAACGTCTGAGAAGCATGCTAGAAAAAGAAACTAGATTGCTGCTTAATGTAAGAACATAAGACGAGCTGTGCTGGATTAGACCAATAGCCGATCTAGTCCAGCGACCCATCTCACACAGTGGCCACCCAGTTCCCCTGGAGGGCCAACAACCGGGCATAGAGGCCGAGGCCTTTTCCTGATGTTGCCTCCTGGCTCTGGGATTCAGAGGTTTAGTACCTCTGAATTGTAGCAGTTCCCCTCAGTCACCATGGTAAGTAGCCATTGATACAGCTGTATGATCTAGCACAGCCAGTTTGGGTTTGATTCCCCACTCCTCCACTTGCACCTGCTGATGTGACCTTGGGTCAGTCACAAGCTCTGGCACAGCTGTCCTTGAAAAAGAACAGTTTCTGTCAAGAGCTTTCTCAGCCCCACCCTGTTGTGGGGAGGGGAAGGGAAAGGAGTTTGTAAGCCGCTCTGAGACTCCAAGTGAAGGGCGGGGTATATATCCAATCTCTTCTTCTTCTTATATATAAATTCATTCCGAGAGCAATTAGATATTGTGCCTCACTATCAGGGAACAGATTCAGCACTTTCAAAATAGAATATAAGAAAACAATCTCTACCAGTTTTGTACAAGGAAGTCAACCAGATGGAGTGAGGTCTGGTCAGCTGACCGGACTGCTACATGAAGGGCAGTTTCACCTGGCTCCTAGAAACAAGACAAGTAAGTGTAAGTTAGTAGAAATAGTTATGATAGAGACAACTCGTTTCAGACAGAATACATTAAAGACATTAACAGAATTATTCACACACACACACGCCAACTGTGATAAATTCAGGAAGCCAGCACACCAGCATTCCTAATGTAAAGTAAATTATTTCCGGACAAAAGAATACAGAGAGTAACAGCAGCCCACTTCGAGATGAGCTGCATTGTTCTGATGCAACTTAGGTACATCTTTCTAAACCTTCTCTAAACTGCTATACTTTTGAGATAGCTTACCTGTCCAGGCTCCAGCAGTGGCTCCATTAGCTCTACCCCTTCTGCATAGACTTGTATTAGTGCAAGTAAATCCCTGGATTTAATAGCCTCAAGTAGTTCATTCAATTTAGCTGCTGCAGATGCACAGGTCTTTCTGGAGAACTTGTGATCTACATACTTAGCAGTAATAAATTCTTTACGTGCAGTCCTGAAAATGAGGAATATATTGTTAGAAATCACAGAAGCACCAGCAAGCGGTTCTTAATAACTTACCAGAGAACAAATTAGCAGTACAGTGATCTGTCCATTTTTTTTGCTCCTTTTCCTAAGAGCAGATGGTACAGAAAAAATGTTCAGTCCCTGTACCATCTAAAAAATGCAAATGTCTAGCCACCGAGGCCAAATGAAAGTACTATCCTGGGTAAGGAAGATAAGTATTGAGAGTGTTTTCAGTTTTTTAAAAGTATATATCCAAACCCTTAGAGGAATGAAGAAAACCTTGACAAGATGGCTGGACATGGTGCCCTAAGCAACATTTCTCATACAGCAAATGTGGCTGGCCCACAGGTCCTGCCTTATGCAAGGGACCTCTAATTGCCTGCACATCATGTGGAAATGCTAGAAGGGATGAGTGAAAGCATGTCAGAAGACAGGCATTAAGACAGACATACTCTGGAAGCATTAGGGGCACAAACAAGTCAGAAATAGGTTAAGTGGTGGCTGGAGGCAACAGAAGACCACAGTGTTTTTTTGGAACTCAAAACAGAAGGTGTTTCTTTGAGGTGCTGTAGCCAGAAGCAGGGCTCAGCACATAAGCAGACATGCACGGATAGCTATAATATTTTCACATCATGAGACACAATCCAGAAAGCATAAGCTACTGGAATTTTTAGTTAGCTAGTAAAAATGCTAGCCCAGGCGGGGCCATGGCCATACAAGGGAAAACTCTATGGTTTTCCCTTGTATGGTCGTGGCCCCGCCCCCAGTGTGCCCGGCGTCATGACATCACTTCCCTGTGACGTGCATGCGGCACGCCGGGATCCACACAGGAGTCCCCCGCCGGCAAGGTAAGTGCCTCTTGGCAACCTTAGTGCCACACATTGAGCTCTGGGAATTCACTGGACACTATGAACTGATGAGGATCTTATTTTCCTGTGCATGAAGTCATGGGAATAAACTTCTACAAAAAGTAATATCTGAACTAGCTCTGAGCATGTCTGTCTGTCTACCATCTCTGAGCCCACTTGTGGGATAGGGCGGGGTACAAATTGAATAAATAATGATAATACTTTCTTCTCCCTTTGTCCAATAAAAGCTCTATGGCTCAATACCTTGCCAATCATACCTTTATAGTCCAAGCAAGCGTCTTCACTCAGGGATGAAAAGGAGCAGATACATCTCCTCATCCACTGATCAGGTTACAGGGTTAAACATCAGTGCTACCTGGACACTTCTTCTAGAAATGTTTCTCCAGTCTTATTCCACTGCACGAGTATGACTTCAACCAAGTGAGCAGTTAGGGATTTTAAAAAATTCAGGAAGAAAAAATCCCCTAGATTCCTTGAGGAATGCCATCTGACAAGCTGTCTGACATAGAAGTCTGTTAGCTAAATGAATTTCTTAGTTTGGTGTTATGTTGTCCCTCTTAATACAGGGGAAAAGGCAGCCATTTCCAACATTTTTTTTTACATACAGTAAAAGCTTTGTCACCCAGCATTTGAATATCCAGAAAACTCTGTTAACCAGCATAGGCCTGAGGGCAATGGTCTACCTCCTAGCCACCATACGGCTGCATTTTGGGGCACATGCACCTTGCTCCCTCCTCCTTAGCTAGCCACTTTGATGCCTTGGGTTACTATGGGTCTTTTGGTAGCTGATGATGCCAGCTGATGTCATCCGCTGTTTGCCCTGTCTGCTGCATAGAGATTTTGGGAGAAGCATAAAAGTCCCACCAGGCATGACGGCGGTCACCACAGAGTTTGGTCGCCATGGTTTTCTTCATGTAGAGGGGTAAGGCAGAGTTATAAGCTCACTGGTAACACCCCTCGCCCCCCATGACTGATGGGTAACAAAGCTTTTACTGTATATTGTTTATTTCATTACTTACATATCACTTGATGGAGTAGGTTTTGGAGAAGGACTTGGTAAATTCCCCTCCATAATGTCATTAAAACTATTGTTTCCTATATTCTTGGCCAGCTGTGAAAGGGACAAAAGATGGTGTCATTAGGGGCTTGGCTTTTGGTATAGGATTTTTAAAGCAGCATTTTGAAACATAACTCATGTTTAACATCTTATAAGACAGGCCAGCCCACAGAACTGCAGAAGAGACACATGAGACACCCTTTCCTTATGAAATGCAACATAATGTCACTCATAACTTCACATTTAATTATAGAATTAAGATCCCTAAAAAAGCATGCATATTGAAAGAGAAAACAACAACACTACTATTGCCATTAGTGGTAACAGCCAGTATGTAAGTGTTCTCAAGATAGCCATTTTAAAATATTGCTTACCAAGAGTTCAGACGTTCCTAATTTGTCTAGCTCTAAAGACTGGATTCGAGAAATATGAACACCCATTTCCCTGTGAATTCCAGAACACTCTATACAGGTTAAAATGCCCAGGTTAGTTGAAAGCCATGTTGGATCTGAACACAAAAAAAGCAGAGGATAAAAAAGTGATGTTTAAAAAGTATTATTTTCCTTGTTCAAATTGTTTTGATAGCTATTCCGTGGCCGCAAGACAGCTACTGATACCAATCTATTTTTATCCTGCCCTTCCTCCAACAAGCTCAGAGTAGAATATATGGTTCGCCACGCCTCCATTTTAGCCTCAAAACAACCCTGTGAGGTAGGATAGGTTAACAGAGAGTGACTAACACAAGGTCTCCCAGTGAACTTTGGGGTGGGGCTGTGTCGCAGTGGCAGAGCATTTGCTTGGCATGCAAAAGGTTCCAGGTTCAATCCCCAGCATCTCCACTTAAGAATCAAGAAGTGGGTATGTGAAAGACCTCAGCCTGAGACCCTGGAGAGACATTGCCAGTCTGAGTAGACAATACTGACTTTGGTGGACTAATGGTTTGACTCAGGATAAGGCAGATTTATACCTTCATGTGTGTTCAGCTTCATGGAAGAATGGGGATTTGAACCCCTATCTCCCCAGTCCTACTAAGGCATTCTAACTACTGTGTCATACTGAATCTACAGATCTCAGTTTCTATGTGAAAACTCTTCACAGTTATGTCATCTAAAACACATTTAATGTACATAAATACCTAATGATCCACAATCACAGCAGACGTCGTTTCCAGGTAATCTCTGTATGTCATCAATAATGGCTTTTGTAAGATCCTCTAAACTATTCTCGCCTGCACTTTGCTCTCCACGGAATGCCATATTTAAAGCTTCTTCCTTGCTGTTGGTCAGTACGGATATCCATCTAATAAAAAATACAAAGGTTTTAAATGTAAGGCTATTTTTTCTAATACCACCGTCTAGGAAAGACAAGTGTCTGATGGAGCCGCAGCAGGATAAGTAGGGGTGTGCTGATAATAAAGACTTGAAACAATGCCCTTGATGGGGCTGGAAAAGATGTCCATTTTACAGCTTTACAAATGTCCTTAAGAGAGGTAACAAGCACCACCAACATAGTGTATAGAAATATTGATTTCTAAAAGCCTCCTGCCTTCTCCTGTGATATCTTTCTGGTAAGGCTGGTGAGGGACTAAGTGTAGAGGTTCTTGTGGGATATTGTTCTGAATCCAGAGAGGGTAGCCTACCTCTGTGGGTTGTTGTACTGGAAAATGTACTGGAAAAATATAGGATTGCCTCCCATCCCTGGACTGGCCTGAGGGGTTTAATCCTATACACATAGCTACATCAAGACAGGTAGCCATGCTAGTCTGTCTGCAGCAGCAGAAAAGCGCAAGAGTCCAGTAGCACTTTAAAGATTAACAATTTTTGTGGCAGGGGATGAGCGTTTGTGAGTCACTCCTCCCTTCTTCAGGTACCTGAAGTGACTCATGAAAGCTCCTATCCTGCCACACATTTTGTTAGCCTATAAGGTGCTACTGGACTCTTGCTCTCTTCTACCAATGTAGCTGTGTTGCAGACCAGAGATGTGCATTCTTGGAGTTACCTAATTAATATTATTCTGAAAAATCTTTTCCCCTGTGATGATTGGGTGGAAGATCCTATTACCGAATATCTGTTCCATTTTATGCAAATGTTTATTTTTGTATTGTATCGAAAATAACAACAAAAGTTAAAAAATGGGGGGGATTACATCTAAGGATAAAGGATAGATAACCACACTACACTAAAAATACTGAGATCTGGATCACACACCTCTAGGTAATACCACCGTAATAAGATGGAAGCGATATTGCATGCAATGAAACAAGTTGATGCAAGTCACCATTGGCCAGGAGATCAACTAAAACACTATCAGCTGACTTCAAAGAGTCTGCTAGTCTCACTGCCTTCATTACCTACCCTTTCAGACTTGAGGAAGGAACCTTCTCATCTGTGACACCACCCAGCTGTTGGAAATGCTGAGTCACAATCATGGGGCTCTTTTGTTTGAGAGATTACTGATACCTGACAAACAGGTATTAGGCTGCCATTCGTCATTTCTTACATGGCTTGTTCCCTGGATGGGTATTTCAGTAGCAAGTCATTCAGATAAGAATGGCTATGTGTAGCAAAAGCCTTCATGCGGGTCACCATGAGCTGGGTGAAGATGTTTGGCATGGGAGCCATGCCGAATGGTAAAACCCGAACTAAAGAGGTTATGGTTGATGTCATAGAATCTTTCTGAATCTTATTGATATGAATGACTTTATTCAGAGCCACTGGCTCTACTGTCCATGTTCTTCTTGATGACTGCAAGCAACATGAAGCATGTTCTGAACGATCCCTCATATAATGGCATCAGCACCATGCTGCTTTAGCAAGTTCCACTCCTGTTTCCTGGGAACCCATATGGGCTACCTGCTACATGCAATCCCTGTCTGGAAGAGTGGCAGCAGATCAGGCTCCTCCAGCATTTGTTCATGCCAGAAAGGACTTCAGGTGTCAAGATGAGCCAATCCTCAGCTTCCAAAATGACGGTCTTGAGGCTCTTCGCCCTTGCTGGGACTCTACTATGCCGTGCAGTATGGATGAGCCCTTGGTGGGGCAAGCTCCCTTGAATGAGAGAGGCCCTAAAAGAAAATCTGGACCTCTCAAGATCTAATCAAGAGACTGTCATAGGGTTGCCAAGTCCTACCTGTTGTTGCAGGGGGGGACTCTCGGCTCGCTCCTGGAGTGCGCGCGCCGCGACGTCACCCGGAAGTGACACGAACATGCTGGGCACGCTGGGGGCGGGGCCACGACCATCCAAGGGAAAACCATAGAGCTTTCCCTCAGATGATCGTGGCCCCGCCCCCAGCGTGCCCGGCGTGGTCGCGTCACTTCCGGGGGACATGCACGCCGCATAGTTTGGGGGGTGGGGTTCCCCCCGGGGCCCGATCTGCCGGTGGCGGGGAACGGGCCTCTGGGGCAGGGGTTTCCCCGCCCCCCGGGGGGACTTGGCAAGCCTAGACTGTCAGGCCAACGTAGCCTTAACAGAGATGGCTTAAACAGGTGCAGCCAAGGGGGATTTTTTTTTGTTTTTCTTTTTAAATACTGAAGAGAAGTCAAAGAGAAAAAAGGATGGCTTGACTAGAATGAGAAGGCCTAAGCTAGAATATTGTCAGGACAGTGCCCTTCATACTCCACATTCTCTATTCTGAGGCTGGTATTCAGAGGTCGATTCGGGGGGGGATCGCAGTTCCCCCGGGTGAGGTGCGGGGGGCGGGGCACACAACGAAGCCCCGCCCCCTGCTTCCGGCCCTCATTCACCCAGGAGGAGGCAGGAGAAGAGGGAGGGTAAGTTGCTTCCTCCCCGCCTCTCCCCACCCCTGCCTGCCTGGGGCCAGGGAGGACCTTGGCGAGGCTTCCTCGCACTCCCGCCGGCCTTGCAGGTCCACTGCCGGGCCCCTGATGTCAGGGGGTGTGGCATATGCTAATGAGTTATGCTAATGAGTTCCCCTAGCTCTTTTTCTACGAAACGACCCCTGCTGGTAATGAACGGAAGGAGGGTAGCCTCCCATTGGTGGAGACAGAATGTTGGAAGTTATCCTAATCTCTAGGCCCAAGGGAAGGAACTTCCCACCAGTCTGGATGTGGTTCTCATCTGAGTGAGAAGGGCAAGAAATACAGAAAGCAAATGAAGAGGGGAGGTGGAAAGAGGGGGGAGACGTTTCTTTCTGTTAGGAAAGACTAAACGAGTCTCACTTAATGCTCTGCAGCACGTTGCTTAAACTAGCCATACTACTGAAATACCACAAGATGGGGTAATAAGGTCACATTTGTTTGGTGTTAAGCAGTCAAGACTGAGAAAGCCTCCAAGGGGAAACCTGTAAGCAAGATTTCACAGGCATAAGGGTCCTCATAGGAAAATATCATTTTGAATTGGAGATCAAATCCTATAACTGAAATTTTCTTTTAAACTATTTCCTTAGAAAGATACATACAAGAAAAAGAATGCAGGAAGGTCTAAATACAAGTGGCCGCTAGAATCAGTAGACAGCAACTTCTGACTTGATAAAAGAGTTTGCCAGCATTTTCCCACTTCGTACACAAAGGATTGAGACTTAATCCTTAAATTATTATTTGCAAATGTCATTAAGATTTATTACTCAGAATCTGATTAGTCACCAAGCAAACACATACTTATGTTTTATTTTAATCTCTACATTTTAGCTCGTGCATTACTTTATGAGGCAGATCCTGACATGTTTAAAATTGCAATATAGCCATTCGTTGCCCACCAATACATCAAGCACACTGCAAACCAAATTAACAGTGTCTCACAGAGATATATTATGCTATGTGATTAATTTATAAGTAATTGCCTGAAACAAAATGCTTTTGAACAAATAGCACTACAACAATTTGTAATGCTTGTTTAAATTTCTAAGACAGGAAAAGTGTCATTAGCTTTTATTAATTTATAGCAGGCATCAAAGTTCTATTTGCAGACTTAAGGAATCCAATTTAGCATTGACAGTTTTAAAGAATGCTCTTAGCAGCAAACAGATTCCTAGCCACTGAAGCTGAACAGCATTACTTTGTTCTCTTGGGCTGTAGCTGATGAGGAAAGGAACCACCATTTCCCACCACCGCCACAAGACTGTGCTGCTTCCTAGCTGTACGAGAAACACGTCAAGTGATCAGATGGCTCCCACATCTCTCCTTGCTTGGAACTAGGAAAAGCAGAAGTGTGGCTCAGGCCTTCTGTCCAGCACGGTCATAATCAATGTCCCCTCTAAGCTGTGGAGCCTTGTGAGCAAACAAATCTACTTTGTGAGCGACTGGCATTAAAGTTGTGAGCAAACAATTTGGCTACTGCATAAATCAGTTTGCTCTGGAGCCATCCTTCTTGAGCGAAGACAAAAAATGTGTGAGCCGGAGGCTAAAAAAACAGTGAGCCAGCGCACACTAACTCAGCTTAGAGGGAACATTGGTCATAATGTGTAAACCACTCACACAGAAACCTGACTTGGAGCAAAGGATGGATAGGCTTACTGCAGGTAAGGTAAATTATTGTATTCCCCCCCCCCCCCGGTATGACAGTGAACAGTTTAGAAGGGACAAAACTGTTCTTTCAGGACTGGCTTTGCCTTTGCAGCAAAGGGGCAAAGAATAGAATCCGCCCAAGGCATTCCACCTTGTGAAGTCCCATTTTTATGTCCTCTTACAGAGAGGAACTAAAAGAGAGAAGAGTAAAGGCAAGGGAAGGAACAGCAGCCAGGTGTTTCAATGTAAAGCTGATTCTCTAGGTACCTGTTCCGGAAGGTTCTACTACCTGAAGCACAAGGCAGGCCTGCTACACTGGCTTCCAATTTGTTCCAGCATAATTCAAGGTGCTGGGGTTGATTTTCAAAGTCATTCAAGACCAACATACCTGAATGACCACCTACTCCCTTAGAAACCTGGCCTACCACTACGGTCACCTTTGGAGGCCCTGCTTTGGGTGACCTTGCTTTCTGAAGTTAGGCAGGTGGCAACTCAGGAGAGGGTCTTTTTGGTCATGGCCCCAAAGCTCTGGAACTCTCTCCCCATTGAGACACATTTATCTCCTTCTGCGCCATTTTCTGCCTGTGGGAGAAGATTTTTTTGTTTTGTCTGGCATTCCTTCAGTGATCCGTCCTTCCTGACCAATGTACTAATTGCTGTTTTTATTTTGTTGTATGTATTCTAGCCCTGTTCTAATTGTTTTAATGATCCATTAATGGCTTTAAAATGTGATTTTTATCCAGTACCTTTTAATTTGTTAGCTGACTTTGTGGCCCTTATTATGGCAGAAAGGTGGAATATAAAGTTTGTAAAATATTAAACGGATAAAACTTTGAT